CTGCTTGTACTTATTACTTTAGAAAGGTTTAGAAGGTTTAGAAAAGGGCAAACTTATCGTGGGGCGACCAAACTGGACTTGGGGCGGGCAGTTCTCCACCTAAAAGAATGCAAATTGATACCCGTGAGGGGGGGGGGGGGTCGGTGCGCCTTTGCTTGCATGACATGCCATTCTCTCACAAAAGACAAAGCAAGGTGGGGGCCTTGAAGGGCTCTCGGCATAACTGGGAACACGGAAATGCGTGAGGAGCGGGAGTGAGGCCCACCGCTGTCGGCACAGACCCACCGCTGCCCAAGTCGGGTTTGTGTCCTTCGCAGCTCGCGCCACTCCTCTGCCTGCGGCCGGGCATATCACGATGGCAGCGCAGCAGCATCGGAGGTGCAGCCACCAGGATACCCAGGCACGGCCTCCGTGTAATGCAAAACAGTGGCGCTGATCAAGGCAGCGCGCAGCACCACTGCCTTGTCCAGCCCTTCACTCCCGATGTCGCGACGGATACTACTGCCCCTGGGTCACGGCATGCTAAGTAAAGGGAACCTTTCACCTGTGAAGGAGATGAGTGAGATGCATTATACAATGACGAAGTTGACTTATAGCAAATACGTTTGTGATGCTGCCACTACTTCAAAAAGGCCTTTCCTGGCCTTCGAAAACATCTGGAGATATTAGAATCTCGCAGAAGACCAAATTCATTTCGCAATCATCTCATTAGGTCATGTTACACATGCGTGACATTCTGATCAATAGCGTTGCGTATTGTTCGACTTCTTTAAAAATCTAATCCATATCCTGAGAATGGATGTGTTTTTGGAATCAGAGCTCACGCTTAGCAGTTTGTATTGTGTGAGACCTGACCCCTACTATCCGATTGTGCAATTCCAAATCAACGGCAGAGTTCGGTGGCAAAATCTTAACGTGCCGCAATACTCGGCACGGTCCGCCATGACCTCTGACGTCACCTAACCTTAAGGGGGCCGCTCCTTAGTCCTTAGACCAGTCGGACGGAACGCCGGCAACTCCGCACCGGCCGAACAACTGCATTCTATCCGTACATGGACTGAGTACTTTTGCGATTGGGTCAAATGCCACCGCAAAAAAGGTAAGCCGCCTTGTCGCTCGCGAGCGGTAAGCGCTGCGTAATGCAGTCTTTCTGCACGTCCATCGGTCTATCGATCTACCTATCGGTTCATCGCAGAGTGTGCCGGTGAATCGCAGCACTCCACACCGCCCGTCGCGTGAGTCGTGCCGAAATGTACCCTGGACGAAGCACGCTCCGATCCCATTGCTTTCATTTTAGGAACTGAAGCGTTCGAGCTTAGGCAAATATATGGAGCCACCTTGTGCTGCATGGTCTGAGAAAGCCGATTCAGCATGTCTCATGAATACGAAATTTAAGTTTAAGTCCGCGCAGCGGCAAGGCTTCATCGCATTATAAAACCTGATAGGAATGGTGGTTCGCGCTCGTGGCCACTAACCGACCAACATCAGACTGAGACCAAGACTGGACTGAGACTGGACTGAGGCTGGACTGAGGTGGTTGAACACTCTCGCGACGGACGGCTGACGAGAGCGAGTCCATCCGCGGGCGTGCGAGAGGCGGGTGCGGCGTGTGGCTCCCGGCTGGGGAGACCTCACGCATCGGCGCCACCATTGCACCAACTGGCACCCGTCAGGGACTGCGCCGGCCGCACAAACCGCGTTCATCGTATGACAAGTGACAACTGCTGCCACCCTCTGACACTACCTAGCCGTGTGGAGACGCCTGCTTCCTGGCTGTCACCGGAGAGGGGCGCACTTAACGCGATATGGAACGACAGACATCGCCGTGGTGAACACGCCCTTGTTTGCCCCTTGGCTTGATGTGATGTCTAAGGTGGTGCAGCAATGCATGGCAATGATACCCAGCTTTGTGACGCAAATCCGTCCGAGCAGCGCAATCCGCGCCCGCCCGTGCTCGGACGTGCAGGAATGCGCCGGTCCGGTCCTGGCCGCGGCCGCGCCGCCGCGCCGAGCGCCAGCCTCCCGACTGGAGGTGCCCGAGTGAGAGAATGGCACCTACGCACGGGCGATAATGACGCCCGGGCGCATAAGCATGTGATGCGCATGCCATACACATGCCATGCGCACGCCGCACACATGTCATACGCATGCTACACGCATGCCATATACATGCCATACGCATCTCATACGCACGCCATAAGCATTCCATACACATACCATACACATCGCCATACGCATACCATACGCATGTCATACGCATGCCATACGCGTGCCATACGCATGCCATACGCATGCCATACGCATGCGTGGGCAGAGGGATCTGGACCGGCGGAAGACAGCAGCAGGAGCGGGCCTGGGCACAAGACACAGGTCATCCGCGGGAGCACTGACCTCGTGACGACCAGTTACTAATGGCGGCTCTGCGGAAATAGCGCTCGCTTTAATTGCTGGTATATTTCTGATACTGACGTGCAGATCAGCTGTGTTGGCATTTGGACGGTGCATGCTCACAATAGCTCCGTCTGACGCTAGCAATTTGCCGCTCGGTCGTCTCCATTTCGGTTTTGGCGATATGCTACACGGAATAGGTCCGGCTTCATCAAGCAATAAACCTGGGAGCTTTTTGGACGTTTTTTTAGCAGCAGTGATACCGTATCACTGCGATAAACAATGGCCAAAGGGAGGGGGAGGGGGGGATTTACCTAGTTACGCTGAGCTAATGTCACAAGGAGGCCGCTTAACCATGCATCCTGACGTACCCAGCGAGGTGTGCGTACGATTAAACGACTAAGTATGTATCCAGGGATGTGGTCGGCCAACAAACCAATGAAGCGGAGTCACTGAGGGTTGCAATTAATGCACCAGCTGTCGTTAGTTGGGCTAAACTAGTCATCATTCAAAGTGCAAATAAGATTATCGACACAATAGGCCTACTACCGGCGGTAAGGTGAAGAAACGAGGATCACAATGACGAATAAAGCTTCCCTGGCAGTCCGATCGTGGGGAGGTTGGGTGTCCTGGCTGAATGGGCACTGAACAGGTGCTGAGGCAGGAGACCCTGAATGCTACGGCGGCGACAGACCCTGATAACCGGTGTACCAGGGCGGCAGCGACTCGCCTGATCACCAGTGTACCTGGGCGGCAGCGACTCGCCCTGCTCATCGATGTACCAGGGTGGCAGCGACTCGCCCTGGTACACCGGTGTATCAGGGTGGCAGCGACTCGCCCTGACCACCGATGTACCAGGGTGGCAGCGACTCGCCCTGATCACCGGTGTACGAGGGCGGCGGCGACTCGCCCTGATCACCGGTGTACCAGGGCGGCGGCGACTCGCCCTGATCACCGGTGTACCAGGGCGGCGGCGACTCGCCCAGATCATCGATGTACCAGGGCGGCGGCGACTCGCCCTGACCACCGGTGTACCAGGGCGGCGGCGACTCGCCCTGATCATCGATGTACCAGGGCGGCAGCGACTCGCCCTGATCATCGATGTACCAGGGTGGCAGCGACTCACCCTGATCACCGGTGTACCAGGGCGGCGGCGACTCGCCCTGATCACCGGTGTACCAGGGCGGCGGCGACTCGCCCTGATCACCGGTGTACCAGGGCGGCGGCGACTCGCCCAGATCATCGATGTACCAGGGCGGCGGCGACTCGCCCTGACCACCGGTGTACCAGGGCGGCGGCGATACACCCTGGTACACATCGGAAGCAGGGCACCCAGACTCCTAAAGTCAGCTCTGGTCCCGACACTCAGAGCTGCTGTGTAGCTGGTGCTGATCTGACGTGGGATCTAGTGGCGAAAGTGTGGCGAGGAGCAGGCGCTTTTTGCTGGACTCGGCCAGACGTTTTTGTGGTGCCTTTGATTTTGAATGTAAAAAGCAAGTAGCAGGCAAAAAGCTGTCCACAGCAGGTTGTAAGCCGGTCATTCGACCTTCGACTGCCGGAGACCTTGGTCAGATTGCCGCTTGCAGAGACCGCCCGCCTCTCCGTTAAATGTTGTTGACAGTCAGTCGAGGCTCGCAATGGAAGCTCGTTGGGTGTGATTTACGTCTAGCGTTTTCCATCCCAGTGGAAGATGACTCGCCCTGCGGCACCGCGGTGTGGGCCAGAACCAGAGGTAAGAGCACTGCAGCCCACACCCGGAGCTAAGGACACTACAGGCCAGTCCCGAAGGTGAGGACACTTCAGGGTAGACCCTGAGGTAGTATTCCAGGCTACACCCAGAAGTAAGAGTGCTACAGGCAGGACCGGAGGTAAAGATAGTTCAGGACAGACCCGAGGGTAAAGGTACTCTAGACTAGACCCATAAGTAAGAATATTACAGGCCGGACCGGGAAGTAAAAACACTACAGGCCGGACCGAGAGGTAACAACACTACAGGCCTGACCGGGAAATGGAAGCGTTTACAGTATAGATCAGATGCAGTGGGTGCAACCACCAATGAGGTTGGTTGGGTCTAAACAACAGCGACTTTTTGGGGCGGAGCTACTTTCATGTTTTGATCACAAAAAAAACTGGAGGAAAGCAGACTAAATCCCAGTCAGCCATGCGTGGCTTCGCAACTGGGCAGGCCTAGGGATAACGGCTCGCGTCGCGTGCAGGGCGTGGGTGCATTTCACGCAGCTCTGCCGCAAAAATCAGTCCTCACCTCCTCATGTGATTTGCTCAGCTTCGGCGTCGCAAGACGTGCTAATCTGCTTCATGCCTCAAGAAAATTGTGATCGGTCCCGGCTCTCGGACGGTCCCTCGCCACTCCCAGACCGGTGCCGTCTCTCGCTGCCGGACCGGTTCCGGTTCTCCGCGCCCAACGCGGTGCCGTCTGCCCGCTGTCGGACTGGCCCCTGTTCTCAGACGGTCCCTTGCCACTCCCAGCGCGGTGCCGTCCGCCCACTGTTGGACCTACCCATGTTCTCAGACGGTCCCTTACCACTTCCAGCGCGGTGCCGTCTGCCCTGTGTCTGTCCGACCGTGGTTCTGAAGCGTGCCTCCGTCCCCAGACCTCTCTGCGCCGCCTGTCGTTCGTGATGGCGCGTGAGACGTTCGTCCGGTACCGCACGCTGCTGCTGCTGGCCGTGGTGGCCGTGCTGAGCTGTGTCGTGGTCGGCCTGCTGGTGGCGCTGCTGGCTCCCAGCCGTCAGTCGGAGCCGCTGACGCAGCAGCAGGCGCAGCCGGAGCCGGAGCCGGAGCCGGAGCCCTACCCGGAGCCGGAACCGACGGCGGGCAAGACCGCCGGAAAGGCGAGCCCGGCCGAGAAGCCGGCGGAAAAGAAGCAGCCGAAGGAACCCTGGGAGCGTGACTACCGGATCCCGTCCAGCACGTACGCGCTGCACTACGACCTGCACCTGCACCCGGACATGGAGACCGGCTTGTTCTCCGGCCAGGTGGACATCCTGATCAGGTCAGTCGTAGGTCAGAGGTTCGAGGCCGACGGCTGGCGGATTTTTGGGCGGATACTGGCGTGCTGCAAAGGTAATCCGCGTACCCTCGCACATACACTCACCCTGAAATGTTACTGCCTTGAAAAACTGATTGGCCGGGTTTAAACGTCAGCAGAATGTGATTTTGGTATGAACGAAAAACTGGCTTACCGAATCGCTCAGTTGCCAGAAGATGGAAACGACGGTGATGATTTGTAGGTCCATTCTATACGAATCGGAACGCAACATGATCAGTTATGAATACGCCATCGGAAATTAAGCGGAATTTCATAGGCTGTCTTACAATGTTTGTTTGTCTCTTAATTTCAACTCTGGGTCGAGATGGAAGGAGGTAGGTGCGCCTGCCACTTCCCGCCGGGTAAATCTGCTACCTACCACCAGGTACACCTACCCCTCCTGTCGTGCACACTTGCCACCCCCGTCAGGAACACCTGCCCCCTCCCGCCCGGTACACCTGCCACCTCCTGCCCAGTACACCTGCTTTCTTCCATCAAGTACACCTGCTACCTCTCGCCGACTGCACTTGCCACCTCCTGCTCGGCACACCTGTCACCTCCCGTCGGGTACACTTGCCTCCTCCCGCCAGGTACACCAGCCACCTCCCGCCAGGTACCCCCGCCACCTCCCGCCGGGTACACCCGCCACCTCCCGTCGGGTACACCAGCCACCTTCCGCCAGGTACACCAGCCACCTCCCGCCGGGTATACCTGCCACCTCCCGTCGGGTACACCAGCCACCTCCCGCCAGGTACACCTGCCACCTCCCGTCGGGTACACTTGCCACCTCCCGACAGGTACACCAGCCACCTCCCGACAGGTACACCCGCCACCTCCCGCCAGGTACACCAGCCACCTCCTGCCAGGTACACCTGCCACCTCCCGTCGGGTACACCTACCGCATCCCGCCGCCGGCTTCCGTTCGACCCGGTACTCCGTCAATGCAAACGTTAACATGGCTTCCCGTTACCTCGGCTACCATTTTCTGGAGCGGTGGGCGGGGGGGGGGGGGGCAAAGCATCGCCACTGCACTTCACCGTTGGAGCTGATGTCTGAAACCCAACTTAAGGCGCCATCTGTGACGTTCTGCCATGCACATAAATGCTTTCTGACAGAGCCTGAATGTTCCCACTCATTTCATATATGCAATGCGCAGAAGTTGTATTCTGACGAGTGGTTCGTTTGACCCACGCGTAGTTCCGCGTCCATGACAGTCAAATAATTATCCTAGTAACGAAGATGGCAAGAAACTCCGCAGCCATTGTCTGGGCCCAATTCGGCCTTGCGCGTACAACTTCCTCAACTGCAATGTATCATTTTTAAAGACGGACCTGCCTCCAGTAACCATGCCGCACCTCCGACTGTCTGGTGTGGTAGTGATGACCCCATGTCAATCACCCTGCTGACCCGCATGGGACGCTGAAGTGCCGGAGCGCATCCTCCACTCCCCCACACACGTTGACAATGTCCCAATGCCTCCAGGGTGACAGATGAGCGTGACTTCTTAGTCACTCACGCCAAGTTCCTCAACATCACCAAGACAAAGCTGACCCGGGGAGACGGCACAGAGGTGAGCTTATCTGGGGGGGGGGGGGGGGTCCGGCACCAAGACGGTGCTTAGCAGCTGATGGTCCTCAGCAGCTGCTTCTTCCCACAATTTGATTGAGTGGACGCATATATCTACAGATACATGAAGTGAAACCTGCGCTGGTAGCCTTCCCCACCAGCATGCTGCGCGCTGTGCAACGCTTAGCAATGAGCGGCCTGCCAGCGAGCTGTCCACGTGTGACGGCCCGGTGGTTGGCCGGTAGCCGTGTAAGCCCGCGGTTGGCCGTACGCCCTGCAAATGAGGCGGCACGGGCGAGAGAGGGGGAGAGAGGCCGGCGATTCGTGGCAGGTCGGTCCAGGTCACTGTATACCCAGTCATCCCATGAGGGAAAGCAGAGGCGAGAGAGAGAGAGAGAGAGAGAGAGAGAGAGAGAGAGAGAGAGACGAGATAGAGGATGAGAATAGGGAGACGGTCTGAGTATGGGAGATCTCGAGGGAGAGAGGGGATAATCTGGGGTCGACTTTCTTCTCTTTCTCTTTCGCTCTCTCTCTCTCTCTCTCCTCTTCCCCCCATCTCTTCTTCTATTGCTCTTTCCTCTCTGCTCTCTCTCTCCTTCTCTCTCTCTCTCTCTCTCTCTTCTCTTTCCTCTTCCTCCCTAGAAGTGCATACCCCTTTCTATTCGACTTGTGGATCCTCGATACGATGATAAGACACTGTCTATGCTGACGGACGGTCCGAGCACCTGATGACGGCCTCTTCGCTGCGGAGAAAGCAGTCCTGTGCATTCTGACTGGCTCGCCGCCAAGAACTGGACTCGGGAGACGGCCTGTAGCTGGGATTGAACTCCTTTGGTCTGTGGCAGAAGCCGGGGCTACGTCCGGAACCATATTCGTGCGCCCGACGTAAGCAGGAGCCGGATTCAGACGGCGAGTCGTAGTCGGAACTGGATTTAAACGGCGGTCTATACAGCTGAACCTGGACTTGGGAGTTCCTAATGTTTCAGTAGGCTTATCTCCACCAAAATTACCGCTGATCCTCTGCTGTAACACGTCGTTGCGGTGCTGTCGTGGCTGGTTATGCAGCAGCCGTCTGTGAGCGCTGGCCGTCCGGCCGGTGTCCGGGGGGAGTCGGTCAGGAACGGCCACCGTTGGGTCCTCGATCTAGGTCAGCTGGAGTCGCCGGGCTCTCGCTTTCACCCGCTCGGGACGGCTGCTGGGGATTCGCTATCCGGGAGGAATGCTGTCCTGTGCTGGTGGACATCCACTTACCGCCACGGTCAGGTCGACACGAGCCTGGCAGAAGGTCGCAGCGAACAGGCCGACACGTGCCTGGCAGAAGGTCGCAGCGAACAGGCCGACACGTGCCTGGCAGAAGGATTTTGTGTTTTGGGAAAAACGCTCGAGAAAAATGATGTCAACGTGGGATGAACATTCAGATTATGGTATCTCACATTATCTGCTGACAAAAAATGCTAAAGATTGTGCGCAAAAAGGTGATCAATGTTCATGTGATGCAACTTAAGAACCAGTTGCTTTACATGATGAAAGTTGCACATTTCGGTAATGTTCCCTCACCATAACCCTATGGGGATTTTCAGAACCGTTTCAAATAGGACATGAACTATTGCGGCTTTTGCCAGACGTCGTCGCACCAAACCAAACCAAATAAGATAACGCCCGCTGCGCAGCATTTTCACCGCGTGCAAATCATCGACTTGAAAACTCCAACAGCCTGTGCGAAGAATGGTAACCACATCCGAACGTCATGACCACGAGCAGACGTACACGGCGACGGCAGGCAGTTGCCGGGCTCGGCCCAGGTCTGTGGGTGACCTCGGCGCCCGCGCTCCGCCGCAGGTGACCGTGAAGCGGGCCTTCGAGTACGAGCCCAACGAGTTCTGGGTGGTGCAGCTGGAGCAGTCGGTGGTGCCGGCCAACTACACGCTGGAGTTGCAGTTCCGCGGCAACCTCACCCGCTCCATCGTCGGCATGTACCGCAGCGTCTACACCAACGAGCAGACCGGCCAGAAACGGTGAGATCGGCCACCGCCGCCGCGACGAGGCTGTCCCCAGCGACTGGAGCGGTACTCCGCCGTACGTCATGCGGCGGGCCGTGGCTGACTCGTGGGTTCAAAACTCACCAACGGCAATGTTTGATCTCTCCGCCGTAGTTGTCATGAGACATCGCGCCACTGCCGAGAAGAGCAGCGGTGTGCGTCGTGAAATAATGAACGGGGTATTGCTCGTGCTGTCCCCAGAATCACAAGCGGCTGGTTCTCAGCTCAAGGACTACCCATAACTTTCAAGGTCATGGCGAACCCACAGGGGCCGATTTGCAGCAGAAGATGTCTGATTTGCATCGTAGGCCCAATGCATTTTGTCCAGGGGATTAAAAGTCTGATCAACTGTCGTTTTGTGTAAAAATGCATCAGGTTCCGTAACACTGTTGTTCAAAAGAATAACTACAACAGGCTCCGTCACTGCTTCTCAGCTGGCGCTGTTTTCACCGACCCATTCGCGGTCAGCATGCAGCGCATTGTTCCTCGCACCCGCCACGCGTGCCTGATGACTGCCGTTGGGGGGAAGGGGGGGGGGGAGGTGGAGGGTCCGCCTGACCCTCTGGCTGGGTCGCACGCCTGCCTTGGCCGCCGGGGAAAAGGCCGACCTCGGACGCAGGCCCGGGCCAGACCCGGAGACCCGGGCCAGACCCACAGGCCCGGGCCAGACCCGCCTTATTCGGCAAGTCCGGCGTCGTAATCTGTAGGTCAGCGCCACGCTCCGCGCGCCGTGTCCTTTGCAAAAGCCCGCCGCGGTCGGCCGGCTCGTCCCGCGCGCCACGTCCTTTGCAAAAGCCAGTCACTGCCGGCCGGCCTGTCCCGCGTGCCGTGTCCTTTGCAAAGCGAGTGCGTGCCGGCCGGCTCGCGCCCGCTGATGCTCACGCACGCGACGCTCACGCGACGCCCAACAATGGGCACAGCAATCACTCACGCTGGGGGATGGTGCAACACCAAGGGTTGATGGCTTGTCTATGCCGTCCTTCGCAGAGACGGTGTGATGGCCTTGTCTGTGTGATCCCTGGCCAGGCATATCAAGATTGATACCATAAAGAGACAGAACATGGCCACAGCGAGCAAATAACCACCAGTTTAGTTATGATCTCGCGAGAGGAAACTGATGACATGCTGCAGTGACATTATTCCGTTGATAAAGCCGGTGGCGTGCTTCCAGATTTATCGCCACGTCCAAGTTCCAGCCGACCTTTGCTCGGCGCGCGTTCCCGTGCTTTGATGAGCCGAGCTTCAAGTCGACCTTCACTACGACCCTGGTGCGGCCCAGCGGCGACGGCTACATCGCCCTCTCCAATATGCCAGTCCAGGTGAGGTCAGGTCAGGTCAGAGCATGTCAGGTGGGGTCAGGTCAGGTGGGTTTAGGTCAGATCAGGTGGGGTCAAGCTAGGTGCGGTCAGGTCAGATGGGGTCAGATCAGGTGGGGTCAGACTAGGTGGGATCAGGTCAGATGAGACCGGATCACGTCATGTAAAGCCCGGTCAGGTGGGGTCAGGTCAGGTTAGAGGATGCCAGGTGGGGTCAGGTTAGGTCAGGTGGGGTCAGGTTAAGTGGGTGAGGTCAGGTGGGGTCAGGCTAGGTGCGGTCAGGTCAGGTGGGGTCAGATTAGGTGGGGTCAGGCTAGGTGCGGTCAGGTCAGGTGGCGTCAGGCTAGGTGGGGTCAGGTCAGATGAGGTCAGATCACGTCATGTGAAGCCCGGTCAGGCGGGGTCAGATCAGGTGATGTCAGGTCAGGTACCGTCTGATCGATGCTGTCAGGTGGTAGGTGGTGTCTTATCCGACCGGTCCGGGGGCCACTCCGCTGGACAGGTCAAGTAGGTGGAGGGAAGGGGGGCCCCAGGGTCTGGTGTGTTATATATTTGTGTTGCGTTGATTTCTTTCAGCCAGTCAAGATCACTGCAACGGCGTCTGTGGCTTGGCTGACTCTGCGGAAGCTTTACAACCACCCGGATTTTAGTGCTTAAGTGTTGGTATTGTTTTTGCCCTAGTACTTGGCTAAGTTACCGCTACTTTGTTTGGTGTTGGTGGTAATCTGATCGCTGGGTTTTCAAACAGCTTCTAGTCAAATGAGAGCAGCGTATGCCAACCAGTCGAAGGCAACTGTCCACCAAATACAACGCAATGCTTCCGCTTGCAGAGAGAAGAAGAAAACGTGCCGTCGCAGGGCCTGACCAAGGTCCACTTCCAAAAGTCGGTGCCCATGGTTACCTATCTGGCGTGTTTCATCGTCTGCGACTTTCCGTACCAAGGTGAGCTCCCGCCGTCCTAGCGCCACAGTTACGGCCGCCATCGGAACGGCATAAATACGCACGTGCCAGGCCCGGAGACGTTCTACCAGAAATGGGGGAAAAGTCCGTCATAACGCCAGTTGACACGCCGTGGCGGGATGAACGACGCGTAGCCTCGCCAGAGGACTCGCTCACTGACTCGTCACATGGCTGAGCGGCGTCTCGACACGCCCTCCGCCGCCGCACCAAGCGACAACTCCAGCCGACGCCTGTTGACGGAGCGTCGGATGGAGCACCGGGTGGTGTTCCGCCTGTTGACAGAGCGTCAAACGGAGCACGGGGTGGTGTTCCGCCCGTAAACAGAGCGTTGGGCCGAGCACAAGGTGGTGTTCCGTCTGTTGGCAGAGCGTCAAACGGAGCACGGGGTGGTGTTCCGCGTGTATGCCGCGCCGGATCGTGTAGACTCCACCAAGTACGCGGCCGACATCGGCGCCAACATCACTGGCTTCTTCGAGGACTACTTCGGCGTGCAGTACCCGCTGCCGAAGCAAGACATGATCGCCATCCCGGACTTCGTGTCGGGCGCTATGGAACACTGGGGGCTGATCACGTACAGGTAAGGGACACAGCTGGTGGCCACTTCCCCATCAGGTACAGGTGAGGGAACAAGGCTACTTGCCGTATCCTCATCACGTACACGTGAGGGAACACGGCTGCCTGCCACTCCCTCATCACGTACAGGTGAGGGACACAGCTGCTTGCCACTCCCTCATCAGGTACAGGTTAGGGAACACGGCTGCCTGCCGCTTTCTTATCAAATACAGGTGAGGGACACAGCTGCTTGCCGTTTCCTCATCACGTACAGGTGAGGGAACACGGCTGCCTGCCGCTCCCTCATCACGTACAGGCGAGGGACACGGCTGCTTGCCGCTCCCTCATCACGCACAGGTGAGGGAACACGGCTGCTTGCCGTTCCCTCATCACGCACAGGTAAAAGGCACGGCTGCTTTCCGCCCCCCCCCCCCCCCCCATCACGTGCAGGCGAGGAACACGGCTGCTTGCCGTTCTGTCCTTCTGGGTGAAGTGCTCGCCCTCCTCGTCTCTCCATCCGCCTTCTCGCCATCTTTCTCGCCAGCAGGCGACCAGACGCGGAACCGTTTGCGCGACATTTTCAAAAGGCTGAGGCCTGTAGGCTTCTAGCGAACACCAGATGAACTTTGCGGTCAGGTCAAGGGGGGTTTCCCCGCCTACACATCAAAAGGTGTCGCAGATAAGACACAATCTGAGAAGGCTAAAAGATAAGGCCAACGGCACCAGGTATTTACGTCGGAGCATTAATCCAATCCACGACCGCGGCGAGGCGGGCCTCTCACCACCACACCGCGCAAGTTACGAGCGCCGGTTTTATCGCGGTCACGGCCGCGATGCCCCAGCGCCGTCAGCTGTGGAACGGTCCGACTTCGGGCAGATGCCTGCGGTGTTGGAGGACACTTGTGGCTGGCCGCCTCGCCGCTGCCTCACCGCTCACCGGTCACGTGACCGTGGCGCCGCTCCGGCCGGCCGGCCAGACCGGCCATCCCGCGGCGCTTCACACTGCCAGCTCCCCTGCAGAGGTGGCTGCGACAGCTGCAGCCGCGCCTGACGGGCACCGACTTTTCCTCCCCGCAAAGCTCCTGCGATAGAAATGCAGCAGAGAGGCGGTCACGTGTAATAGCCGTCGTCATACGTGCCATAGCGGGGATGAGCTGCAGCGCTGTGGCTAAACACGAAACTCAGAACTGTGTGAGAACCCTGTGAGTGTATTGTTAGAGCTTTTTTACGTGCATGCATGATAAAGGTGTAGTATTACATACACAAGGGTGTAAATCATGTATATATTGCTGACTGCATTGTCTTGGAGTGCTGCCACCTGACAGACGTGTCTTGTCTTAGAGTGCTCTAGCTGACCGACGCGTCTTGTCTTGGAGTGCTCCAGCTGACGGACGTGTCTCATCTTGGAGTGCTCCACCTGACAGACGTGTATTTCTTAGAGTGCTCCAGCTGACCGACGCGTCTTGTCTTGGAGTGCTCCAGCTGACAGACGTGTCTTGTCTTAGAGTGCTCCAGCTGACCGACGCGTCTTGTCTTGGAGTGCCCCAGCTGACCGACGCGTCTTGTAGTGCTCCACCTGACAGACGCGTCTTGTCTTGGAGTGCTCCACCTGACAGACGTGTATTGTCTCGGAGTGCCCCAGCTGACAGACGTGTCTTGTCTCGGAGTGCCCCACCTGACAGACGTGTCTTGTCTCGGAGTGCCCCACCTGACAGACGTGTCTTGTCTTAGAGTGCCCCAGCTGACCGACGCGTCTCGTCTCGGAGTGCCCCACCTGACAGACGTGTCTTGTCTCGGAGTGCTCCAGCTGACAGACGCGTCTTGTCTCGGAGTGCTCCACCTGACAGACGTGTATTGTCTTAGAGTGCTCCACCTGACAGACGTGTATTATCTCGGAGTGCCCCACCTGACAGACGCGCCCGTGGCCCGCTGCTGCAGGGAGACGAACCTTCTGTACAGTCCCAGCACCAGCTCGTCGTATAACCACCAGCGGATCGCAGCGGTGGTATCGCACGAGCTGGCGCACCAGTGGTTCGGCAACCTGGTGACGCTCAACTGGTGGGACGATCTCTGGCTCAACGAGGGCTTCGCCAGCTACATCGAGTACAAGGGCATCGCCCAGTACCACCCCGACTGGGACGTGGTGAGTCGGCTCGGTGTCGCACCAGCGGGGACATGGCGGGTGTAGGTCCGTGGCGACCACGAGTGGTGAGTGTAGGCACCAGCACCACGTCGACCGAGGCGCGCTGAGCGTGGGCACTACACCGCCTCGAGAAGAACGCAGTGAATGGGTAGGGGTGAAATGGATGCGTGCATGGATGAAATAGGGAACGGGACGTGTTTCATAGGACGCAGGGAATAGAAATAGCTAAAACAGAAAAAATAAAACATAGGAAATAAGAAATAGAACGCAGGGAAAAAGAAATAGGTAGAAGGGATGTGAAAGTGCAGTACCGAGACGACTCGGGTATGATAAGCCTGCGTTATCGCGAGTGCTTCCCAGTTTTTCGCTGCCGGCATATGCGCGAGCCGAGCGCGCGGGGCGCACAGCCAGCCAGGTGTTGCCACACCTGGTCTGGTAGCGGCCGAGCCTGCCTGACCAGTGTCAGCGCCGCGTCCCGCTCTGACCCGCCTGCCGGCCTCGCAGGAGGCCCAGATGCTGCCGGACGATCTGCAGCGGGTGATGGTGCTGGACGCCTCGCTCAGCTCCCACCCGATTGTGCAGCCGGTCGACACGCCCGACCAGATCACCTCCATCTTCGACGTCATCTCCTACGCGAAGGTGACTCCCAGCACGCCGGGCCAGCTTCGCACGCTGTTAGGGATCGAGGTCGGATGCTGTTCGGAATCAGATGCTGTTCGAGATCGGATGCTGTTCAGGATCGGGTGCTGTTCAGGATCGGATGCTGTTCAGGATCGGGTGCTGTTCGGGATCAGATGCTGTCCAGGATCGGATGCTGTTCAGGGTCGGATGCTGTTCAGGATCGGGTGCTGCTCAGGATCGGGTGCTGTTCAGGCTCGGATGCTGTTCAGGATCGGATGCTGTTAGTAGACGTTCTCAGACGCATACAAGTGGCAATGCTAGGATCAAGGCAGTGAACTAAACGGAGAGTGAACACGGCAAACGAAGGAAAAAGGGCAAACATTATCCGAAGGCGCTGACCCTGAGTCCCCATACTTGCAGTTCTGACCGACCGTTTGCTTTGACAGAGATGGAGTCGGCTGGGCACGCCCCAGAGGCTGACGCCTTTGCTTCTCCCGCAGGGCGCCTCCGTGCTGCGGATGCTGGAGGGATTCATGGGTGACGAGGAGTTCAGGCAGGGAATCTCCAACTTCCTTAGAAGGTTCTCCTACAAGAACGCCGTTACTCAGGTAGTAGCGCGTTAAAGTGATTGAGAGTGATAGTGATGTACGGCACTGGAGCAGCATGCGAACACCTTGCCGAAGACCGCCAGCGCTGTGGCCCATTGCTAGAACGGCGGACTCCATCGTCTGCAGTCAGATGTGTGGAAGGCATGTAGGGTCACGTCCCGAAGCGGTGTCACAGGGCTTGCCACGTGAGGCTTATATGGGGTCACGTGACTTGTCACGTGAGGCTTACGTGGGGTCACGTGGCTTGTCGCCAGTCGGGAATTAGTCAAGAAGGCGAGGTCGACACAGGGACGGCGTACCTGCTACACTAAAATGTGTCGTCAATAGTTGTCTGCTAAACAGAAAATGGTTTACGGGGCGCTGCGGTAAAATCTTCGAAACTAGCTACCACTAGCAATGTCTCTGATCACAAACTCATTGATGCAAAACGTGACGTCAAATTCCTTAAAAAATTGTAGTTCGACAAGTGGTAGCGAATGTAAGGGTCTTCCACGACTCCAAAGTGCTTTGAAGGTTGTTCAAGAACAACAAAGATGGAGTTGTTCATTTGTTGGTTTTGCAATATGACTAAACGTTAACTCTGTCACGGGCTAACAGTTGGAAGGGGGGGGGGGGGAACAGCAGCGAATTTTCTAAGGCATGTCTTTCAATGCAATGTCATGGACGCAATGTTAAATTTCAGAAAGGTTGGGAGGAACGTGTTCCATATCCCTCTTATGGAAGAGTACATGGTGTTACATTCTGAACGCTTGAAGCCATGCCGTCCCTGTCCCCATTAAGCACCACCTGGCTTCTTTCAGGACCTGTGGAACGAGCTGAGCCAGGTGTCATCCAACCAGCTGCCCATCACTAAGATCATGAACACCTGGACCCGACAAATGGGATTCCCCGTGCTGGACCTGAAGAAAAATAGTGATGGGTCGGCGTACATTATGACGCAGCAGCGCTTCCTGGCCGATAAAGATGCCGTGGACAAAACAGAAAGCCCGTACAAGTAAGCGCACAGATGCTGATTCCGCGACTCATGTTTTCGCTTTTCGCGCTCAGCATACGTTTTTGTGTGCGTGTGTGCGTGTCCGTGCCGTGTGCTCGCATGCAGAGATGCGTCCGTGAATATGAATGAGCACCTCCACGCGATCATCAATCAATTCACACGCTCGTCGGTCGCTGACGATGCTGGCTGGCTCGTTGTTCAACGACCGTGAATGAAGTACCGCAAACACGCTTGACTGATTCTTGTTGTTGCCAGTTATCGATGGGAGATTCCAGTCACGTACTTCACGTCGAGCGAGTCGATGCCCAAACAAGTCTGGTTCCACATGGAGGACACGAGGTGAGCGTCTGCCGAAGCGGCTGTGAGCAGCGCCGGCAGCGCGGGCTGCACGCCACAGTCCTGACCGGCGTTGCGGCCAATGGCGTAGCCAAGGGGAGCATGTCAGACCATGTCCCTCCTTCCTGGAGCTGACGGAGGCCTCCTGCCAATGTCCCTTGCCTTTTCAGACCATGTCCCTCCTCCCTGGAGCTGACGGAGGCCTTCTGCCAATGTCCTTTGGCTTTTGAGAGTTATAGACGTCCAGAGGGCTTCGCGAACATAAAAGCAATCCCTTGAGGCGTCAAGATGGAATCCTGAACCTAAAAAAGGTCTCCAGAATTGAAAAAGCGGACCCCTATTGAGACGAAGAGGGGACCCTTGGTCGGAAAGCTCCTGTGATCCGATTTTACCCTCTCCTGGACTCTCCTGGACAAAATCGTGGCTGCGCCAGTTTGCGACCCACCGGTGTGCTTCTGCAGCGCGGTGGAGGCCGCACAACCCATGCGCGTCAACATTCCGCCGAAAATGGCGCTGATGGCTGTGCTACCTTGCGTCTACGCTTATCGTACTAATACTCCCTGATGGGATGGAATGGCTGACATTTCTATCTGCGTGTGGGGCAAACGCCACGGGTTTACCAAAAGCTGCTTTTTTTCTTGCAGAATAAGCACAAAAATGTGGTTACAAAAAGATAATTCAGCATAAAAAATACACAATACAGGAATACTCTGCTGGCGCGCGTTGTCTACTGCTGCAACACCACGGATCTTAAAATTGCTCTGCGAGACGGTCTCTTCACCGCTTCTCGCCTCGCGTAGGCGGCACGTGAATCATCAAAAGTCGCATAATCAAATCAGCAAAAGCAAAATTATAAAGAGCAAACGGTCTGAGAGGAAAGATTGCGTACGAGTGCGATGGCTATATCACACTTTATCAGGCATTTAGCTCAGGAGATATTTTTACGCCGAACTTAAACACATGTGTCATGCGTTCGGTGGAGCCGTGCCAGCGATGTCTGTCCACTGTCTCAACATGCATGGAAAATCTGTTTAATCGCAGAACTCGTAGACGAACGATTTGCAGCATTAACATATGACCCTAGTCAAACGACAGCTGTCGCGACCTAGTCAAACGACAGCTGTCGCCACTCAGTCAAACGACAGATCTCACTAACGAACAACCGAACCGAACTCGAAGGCGAACGATTTGCAGCATTAGCACAAGGCTCGAGTCAAACGACAGCAGCCACTACCTAATCAAACGACAGCTGTCACTATCTTGTCAGACGACAGCTGTCACTACCTAATCAAACGACAGCTGTCACTACCTAATGAAACGACAACTGCCAGTACCAATCGCCGTGCCTCAACATTTGTTTGCTGCTTGGAGTTGATGATAGTGTATGGATTCGCAGCCGCACTGCACCCATGTCGCCGGCCCGACAGCTGACGTTGCGGCGAGTGTGGCGCAGTTTGCGCATCACTGGGCTCTGGAGACGGGCTGTCCACGGCCTACCTGACGAGACGCGACATAGGGCGCGCCTACCGTGACACCGACCGCCCTCTCGCAGTATCGAGGTCCCGGTCGACAACGCCGCCGACTGGGTCAAGGTCAACGCGGAGCAGCGCGGCTACTATCGGGTCAATTACGACAGCGACGGCTGGCGGGCGCTGAGTGAAGCCCTGCTGAAGGAGCACAATGTGAGAACACGCTGACGAGCCGTGGAGCACAGCTTCCCACCCGTGGTGATCGCGCTGCGCCTCAGCTGCCTGCGTCGATTGGCTGGTGAAGTGTTGTGCCGTGGGCAGAAATGGTGGCGGTCAGTATTTGGATGCGCCTGGCCGGCGTGCATCGGGAGGTGCTGTACCGCTGTGGTGACCGGCAGGTACTGAAGCCCACCGACCGGTCCTCACTCATCAACGACGCCTTCGCGCTGGCCGGCGCCGGCTACATCACCTACGACGTGCCGCTGGATATGACGGCATACCTGAGCCAGGAGCAGCACTACGTGCCGTGGCGGACCGCCGTCGACGAGCTGACCGACCTGATGTCGGCGCTGCAGTTCACGGAGCTGTACGGCCACTTCAGGGTCAGTAGGTCGCTGGCTCCCGCGTGCGCATGCGCGTAAACGCCTTTAAGGAAGTCGGCGAGGCTGTGTTGGAAGCGTTCCGCCTGATGTTCGATACACGTACATGAACGCTGCAGGGTAGAGGAACACCGTAAACTTGGTCTGTTCATCGCAAAAAATCATACGGACAGAAACATTTTGGAGGCCCTCGGCAAAGATGTACTGTTCCATCTTAGGGGGACGAGTCAATCATCTTCCAGCGCTTTGAAAGCTATGTGGTTGTCTGTGGATGTCGAGCACAAATAATTGACCTTCGAACCCAATGTGTTCCAATGATTTTGATAGAGCTCCACCACTGTTGATAAAGGGACCCCGCGTCGGCCGTGGCCGCGTGGGTAGCGGCGAGCATTGAGCCACCCAGCCCTCTCATCATTTACCCCACCCGAAACTCACCGACATTGCATCGTGTCTCAAAAGGACCCTCACTGCCCATGTAAAACGCTTCATGGCGTCTGACAGTAGCATGTCTACTTCTCCAGAAATACATCATTGAAATAGTGGAGCCCCACTTCGAGTCGCTCGGCTGGGAGGACAGTGGGATCGCACCTGGAAAAGTAGGTTGGCGCCGCCTGGACAGCCGTGCCCCTCGGCAGCGGCGTGTCCAAACTTGCCATGCAGCTCACTTTGTGTCGTTTTTTATGCACAAATATCCCAGTGTCATGCTAAGGCTGTGGACAACTGTAAAGGATGTCGAGTGTTTTGCTACGGGCAGCTGGTCGGGCCGAGTGAAAAGGCTGACACAGGATGGCTGACACAGGATGGCTGGGACGAAGGATGGTAAGGCTGACACATGATGGCTGGGACGAAGGATGGTAAGGCTGCCACAGGATGGCTGGGACGAAGGATGGCAAGGGTGACACAGGATGGCTGGGACGAAGGATGGCAAGGGTAACATAGGATGACATGACAAGTATGACTTAAACATATGCACGCTGTGTAACTGACTTTTCCAACGCCTCGTAATAGCCAATGCCCACGACATTGAAGTGGCAGAAGCATGCGGTGAAAGCGTGCGGTAGAAGTCGCGTCACCAGCGGTGACGTCCTGGGGATGTACCCTCCTCCTCCCCCCCCCCCCCCAGCGCTGCCATCAACGCCGCAGCCAATGACGGCCAAAGTGCCCCCCCCCCCCCCCCGCCAGCGGCCAGCGCGCCTGCCGTTCGATCTCGTGACCACCGGCGTCTCGCGCCGGCCACGCCGGCTGCCTGCAGGGCGCCGCTGACCAGCTGACTGACCTGACCTTGCGCGTGCGCCGTCGCCAGGCGTAACCGGGTGCAGCTGCTGGCGCTGGCGTGCCGCGCCGGTCACACCGGCTGCCTGCAGGGCGCCGCTGACCGGCTGCGCAGCTGGCTGGCCGATCCCGACCACTACATCGCGCCCAACATTCGCTCACTTGTCTACAAGTACGGCATGCAACAGATCAGTAAGTGGGGGCGGCGAGACAGGGCGTGGCGGGGCCGGCCGAGGAGGGGAGGGGTGAGACGGGGGAGGCAGGAGCGGGGGGGAGGGGGGGGGGGTTGAGACGTCAGACGCTACGCCCGTGACGCAGCACGGATTCTGCAGCCGCGTTCAGCCGATAAGCCTCCGCTTGTTCCGCTTGTTCGCGAAGGACCCGGAAGAGTCCTGCAATGTATTTCGGTTATTTTTTAACACATAAATATTGCAGGAGGACCTAATGTATCCCATGCATTTCATTATTTGCATCCATTCATATGCAGCAATTATTGACTCTCCAACCAGTGGAAATAAGTTCAAACTGCAGGTAATTCTGACTTCGCAGTTTTTTAAAATAACGTTCGAGTACATGCAGTATAACACAAACCTCTAACAAATGCTTAGAAATGCGCTCACGCTAAACTATTCGGGAAATTAGATCGGGGGTGTGGGATACCTTGGAATGGATATAGGGCGTATGATCATGCTACCCTCTCGGGTTTGGCTGAGCTGGATCCATGGACCCTCTTCAGTGACCTATCTCATTTTCAGCTCTGAACTGGTTTCGTTCTAAATAAAAATGACAACCTGCCTTACTGTCTGGTGACTACCGAAAGAAGGTACCTGAAGGAAAATAGGCGGTCGGATGTCTTAAGGGCGTTGCAGTCCTTCGGAAAGCTGCACCTGAGCGGTTATCATTTATGCAAATTTCGGTCTATGTCTTTTCGAGAATCACATGAAACTAGACCATTTTTTAGTTCACAAATGACTACCGGGAACCCCTGGTAATCCCGTACATTCCGACACGAATTCGTTGAATATTTGTAAACCAATTCAACACTTAACGTAAAAATATTGTGCGAAAACGGTTGCTATCTACTCGTTTCCCAATGTGCAGTAGTGCCCAGTTAGCGGCATGACATCGTGCTATGTCCAGCTGACTGTGTCGGACACAGCTGGACACAGTCAGCGGCCACCACGCGCATGACACTGACTCGCTCCCCGCCGCAGATTCCGCGAACGCCTGGGAGACCATGTGGAAGCGCTACATTAACGAGAACAACGCCCAGGAGAAGAACAAGCTGACCAGCGGGCTGGCAGGCGGTCAGTAAGCCAGTGCAGCTCAACCCGCCGCCAGGCGTTGGGCGGGGTGTTATTTGTTCGGTGCCTTCCAACATCCCAAATTACATGAAAATCGCATACGCACATCTCTTTTGAGTTGTTCATAGAGCCGGAGTTGTACAAGCCTGTTTACAGCGCGAAATCCGGTTAGTTGATTATCCAAAGCCGTTCCATCCTCATGTCACCGATTTGACCGGCTCAGTATGAGTCTCAGCGCTCGGTAGATGTTACTAGTGCCGCACTGACCGCTCCTCGGACTACACCAGGTCCGCCAGCCGTGGCTGCTGCACCGGCTGCTCCAGCTGGCCAAAAACGAGAGCTATGTACGCTCGCAGGACTTCTTCAAGCTTTGCGCCAGGGTCAGCGCCAACCCGGCCGGCAACCCCATCGTCTGGAACTATTTGAGGTGAAGGGTGACGGGGATGGCGCGAGGAGCTTCTGTGGGGGTGGATAAAATCCCAGGCCATGGAAATTTCTCTGAGCAATTGCTTTCAGGGGAAGAGCTTTGATAAATATTCAAGGGGAATTCAGTCATTTGGAAACTTTGTGTGATGCTTCTTTGACGTATCAAGCGATACTTATTTTGATGGGCGTAATATTTTGGCATTAAGGGGGCGTTCTCAGGTCACAAGCATCAAATCCTAACTTTTGAAAAACTAGGCCGCAAAAGCAGTCCAAACGTTCCCAAGCAATTTGTGACGCATTAGGCTGTACAAGAAAAAGACTTGTCGATTTCAGCTGCGAGAGAAAACGCACTTTCAAGGAACTCATTGTTGCTTTTTGCACTTTTTTTTGACAAATCCATGTGTTGCACGCCGCTCCAATTGGGGAACCGGTTCAAATAAACATTGTAGGTGGCCGTGATGATTCCAGAAAATGCAAGGCAGGACTTGTGTGGAAAGCTTTGCAACTTAGCAGAGAGCTTGACCTCAATCAAATATGGCTCCGTGCCGCTGACCTGGACCGCCTTGCCCGTGACATACCCGAGTGGTCTGCCCCTGTGGCATGTGGCGTCAGTGTCATGGACGCCGCCTCGCCACGTGACAGGTCTGAGTGGCCTGCCCCTGTGGCATATGGTGTCAGTGTCACTGACACCGCCTCACCCCGTGACAGGTCTGAGTGGGAGTCTTACCTGGTGCCGCGCTTCACCCTGAACGAGCGCTACCTCGGCTTCCTGGTGCCCAAGATCACCAAGCACTTCAACACGCCGCACCAGCTGCAGGAGGCGAAGGATTTCTTCGCTCGATACCCGGAGGCCGGCGCCGGGGAGCGCGCGCGCAAGGAGGCGCTCGAGACCATCCAGGCCAACATCAACTGGCTCAAGAACCACAAGCAAGAGCTGAAGAAGTGGCTCAAGTCCAGGAAGTCGGCTTCGCCTCAGCTGGGCTGAAGTGACCCGGGATCGTGGCACGGCTGTTCAAGCTGCGGTTATGGCTTTTGGATAGACGTGCGGGTGATGTGTGGAGTGAGTGGAACTGCAGAAGGTTACGGTGTGCGAATGTGGAGGTCCCATGTTCGCGTTGAGTGACGTCACGGCAACGTCTAGTGACATCACACCAGCGTCAAGTGACGTCATACCTGAACACCTTCAATTTTAGTAACGTTGGTGTTGATAACGTTGGCTCCTGGTCTTCAGGGCCCGGCTCAATGGCGGTGGCCAACTGATCAAGTATGCATTCCGTCCCTGATCTTCAGCATGGTGAAATATTCCCCTCACTATTGTCGAGGTACAGAAAGCCATTCGAGGATCCTCAGAGTGCAGAAAGTGATCCCCTGGAAGAATCATTGATTCCCTGAATTAGCCCTTGATCCCCTGATAATGCGAGAAGATAGTCCTCACAAACGACCTGGGTGAGGGACACCATTCCGTCCCTGATGGTCACATGCAAGAAACCCGTTCGTCCCTGATGGTCGCGGTGCGAGAAGCCAGTCCGCTCCTGATGGTCAGTGTGCGAGAAGCCAGTCCGCTCTTGATGGTCAGTGTGCGGGAAGCCAGTCCGCTCCTGATGGTCAGTGTGCGGGAAGCCAGTCCGCTCCTGATGGTCAGTGTGCGGGAAGCCAGTCCGCTCCTGATGGTCAGTGTGCGGGAAGCCAGTCCGCTCCTGATGGTCAGTGTGCGAGAAGCCAGTCCGCTCCTGATGGTCAGTGTGCGGGAAGAAGTCCATCTCGGATGGCCACGGTGCGATAAACTAGACCACCACCGATCGTATTTATCAGCAGCGTGACCTTTTAAGGGCTGGCGGAAAGCGTTTCATTGCAAATCTGCAGCGGGTGAGGGTGTGAGCTGCGATGTACCACAAAGCCGAATGGCACCAGCCCGATTATGATCATGCAGACATATCCACGTTTATCGCGCTACGGCCCGGAATCTCAGCACATTTGCAGCAGTGATCGAGTACTGACATGGACTGGCCAAGCCGCTCAAAGTGACTGGCGATGGTCTGCAGTGGTTGTGCAGGTGCAAAGACTGGGTGTCACGTACCTGGCACTCGAGACGCATCCATTTGGAATGGGACTGCACTTTGTGACGTGCCAAGCCTTTCAAGTGCCATACTGTTTACGCCCTTGCTACGCGGCCAAGCAAGGTCCAGAATAGCGCTAGTCTGTTGGTTTTAGTTTTCGACACCTGGAACGCCGGCAAATGCTGTTTGTTTATCCAACTGTGTGTGAATCTAGTGAGCTCGTCGGATCCAGAACTAGTTTGTCTTGTGTGTCGGCAATTTGGGAATATATGTAAATGTGTGTCGTTTCGTGCACTTATGGATACTGTTATGGAGATCAAAACTTCGCATTATAACAAAAATGTAATTGGTACTCGAAATCGTTTAACTTTTCGGCGTAAAATGTTTGCTACATTTGATGAACCTGCGCGTATTCAGAGCAGAGTACGCCAGTTTGGTCCGTGGGTGTTTTTAAGATTAAAAATCACAAGGTTTTTGCTGCATTGTTTGCTCCTTTTCTTGCAGACTCATGCAGGCTATTATTTTTTCCTTGCATTTTGATTTGCGTCCAATATTAACATTTGTGGTCGAATAACCAACACACGGGGCAAACTCGGCACCAGCGGAACGACGTCGCCGTCGACAGAACATATGACGTCACGGGGAGCACGTGACCAGCTCCCGGCTTCAGATGAGAATGTGGGGCGCTGGGAGCGACCTTCACCAGTCCCCGGCCTCAGGGGAGTGACCCTCACCAGTCCCCGGCCTCAGGGGAGCGACCCTCACCAGTCCCCGGCCTCAGAGAGCGACCCTCACCAGTCCCCCGACCTCAGGGGAGCGACCCTCACCAGTCCCCCGGCCTCAGGGGAGCGACCCTCACCAGTCCCCCGGCCTCAGGGGAGCGACCCTCACCAGTCCCCCGGCCTCAGGGGAGCGACCCTCACCAGTCCCCCGGCCTCAGGCGAGTGACCCTCACCAGCTCCCGACCTCAGGGGAGCGACCCTCACCAGTCCCCCGACCTCAGCGGAGCGACCCTCACCAGTCCCCGGCCTCAGGGGAGTGACCCTCACCAGCTCCCGACCTCAGGGGAGCAACCCTTACCAGCTCCCGGTGAGGGATTTGGTGCGTTACACGATACCGAGGATAAGGCCGTGTACAATTAAACAAATTGTCGTCGTTAATGCCTTGCTTTGAGGATTTTGCGTTAACAAAAAATTCACGTCAAAAGCTATCGAGCTCGACTTGAACTGTGCTCGAAATGAGGAACTTCTGAACGTTTACACAACGCATCAGGGAGCAACCGTTGCCAGCGACATTTGGGGAACTCTGTTTCCATAGGGCGCCACGAGGCGCCGCATCCAGCGCTCAGTCACACGGCGTGTTTCTGGTGCCCCAGGCCGCTCAGGGGGTCTCTGTCACCTGTCGGATTCTGGCGTGTTTCTGGTGCCCCAGGCCGCTCAGAGGGTTTCCGTCACCTGTCGGATTCTGGCGTGTTTCTGGTGTCCCAGGCCGCTCAGAGGGTTTCCGTCACCTGTCGGATTCTGGCGTGTTTCTGGTGCCCCAGGCCGCTCAGGGGGTCTCTGTCACCTGTCGGATTCTGGCGTGTTTCTGGTGCCCCAGGCCGCTCAGAGGGTTTCCTATCACCTGTCGGATTCTGGCGTGTTTCTGGTGCCCCAGGCCACTCAGGGGGTTTCCGTCAGCTGTCGTATTCCGTCCATACTTCGCTACTGTGAGGCAGCTGGACTCCGGCAATCGGTTTGCTTAAGCCCGAGGCCGAGGCGAAACAGTGTATGATGGTACAGACGTTTCAAATATTTACTTCAAATAACGTCACACACGTCATGTAATTACAATAGACGTGTGAGATAATAACGCTTAAAGTTTGACAACATGCCAAAGCCATGTAAGATCACGTGATGTCAGATTCAATCAAAGGTTTTTGACTGTGGCCGCAAAAAAAAAACGCCGGCAGCCAGATATCAGAGGCTGTCTCCCAAGCCTTTAGGCTGACAGCCGGAGATTGAAGGCTGTCTCTCAAGCCATCAGATTGACAGGCGGAGGCCAGAAGCTGTCTTTCGAGCCCTCAGGCCGGCAACCGAGATCAGAGGCTGTCTCCGAAGTCCTCAGGCTGCCAGCCGGAGATCAGAGGCTGTCTCTCAAGCCCTCAGGTCGGCAGCCGGAGATCAGAGGCTGTCCCTCAAGCCCTCAGGTCGGCAACCGGAGATCACAGGCTGTCCCTCAAGCCCTCAGGTCGGCAACCGGAGATCACAGGCGGCCTCTCGGATACCAGGGCCTGGCGGCATGCCTAGTAGGCACCATTCTGTGCGTCTCCTGCTGGCTCAGCTTGTGCACGCACATCAGGTGCTTGCGTAGGTTGGAGACGATGCTGAACACCTTGCCACAGATGCGGCAGCTGGTGAGGCCGCGATGCGACTCTTGGTGCTGGTTGAGGCTGCCTGGGTGCTGGTAGCGCTTGCCGCACAACTTGCACTGAAGGGGCGGCTGTGTCTCGCAGACGTCTGTCGGACACGCCAGCTCAGGGTCAGACTTGCAGACTGGCCAGGCTGGTCAGCAGGGCAGGGCGCTCCCACCGCGCTAACGTTATCACCTGTGAGTCGGCCCCACTTTTTTTTTTAGCAAGGCTACGGAATGCTAGGTAACGCGCTCTGTGCTATTTAGCAGAGGCCAATGGTAGTGCGCCAGCTGAATAACATTTTATCGTTATAACCAGATATAGTTTTCTTTAATCAGATACCGCATCTAAGTCCCAGCCTAAAATCATCACTTTCAATCATGTCCAATTTGTATGCGAAATTGTCTTTTTGAGACTCAAAAAAGCTGGCGGCAATGTTAAGGTATGCAGCTATCATCGAACTGGAGACCACCTGGCGACAATGCCCAAGGAATGGGGACATTTTGGCGTCTAGCCTGGCGCACCACAAACAAATTCATCTAGTCTCCATGACAACTCTGCCGTCCAAAGGTAAAACCACATATGCTCATTTCTGGCCGTTTTGCGTTTTGATTTCGTCTGATTTGTCTTGTCATGCTTAATTCGGGCATTTAAACCAATAGCTGAAATTTTCACAAGCTTTTAGCTAAAAGAAAGGGCTAGAAGTTTGTGGACATCTCAACTGATGATTTAAATTACCAAATTTGGCAGGAGTAGGTGAATCAAATGACATAAAAACGAAAAATGTTCCGAAATTAAGATACGGGATTTTGCCTTTGGATGACAGAAACGGGTGGGTGGCATTGTAGTGTGGCTAATGAACAAAAGATTTGTCGGCGAGCGTCGCCTTGGGCTTGTCCATTTTGTTTGATGAATTGATGAATGTGCCGAAGAGATGTTACACGGTAACGTGCGTATAATCCTTTTGGCACCGCCACTTCTGTACAGGAACATCACGCAAAATGTCTTGAAACGTTTCAAATGCTTCGGAAGGTATGCTCGAGAGGCCTAATGGTAGGCCTAAGCCTAAAAGATAGGTGGGCCTGGTGCTCAAGCTTTCGTTTTGGGATGACCTCTTTCTTTGACTTGAACATTCTTGAGGTGGGAACACCTCAAGGCCAATCAAGCCTTCCAAACACTAGAACAAACTGTCCAACATGCCAATATTACCTATGCAAATTTGTAAAGATGCATTACTTTTTAATTCACAAGGCAGGCCAAGTGAAAACAGGTATAGCAGGATCTTTTTACGGCATTTTGAGTGTGTGGCATGTTGGGGGGGAGGGGGGGGAGGGGGGGAGGGGGGGCAGTGCGGACAGCCTTGGGGTGCGGAACCATCTTCAACCGCATTCAAGATGTTCGAAAAAGGAACCTGGCTGTGCCAATATCGCCTCCATTGCCGGTGTGAGAAAAGAATCAATACACGCGTAACGTTCGGAGACTGCAGCAAACACCGTCCCTGGACACACGTTATTAGGAAGTTCCTTGAGCCCCGTGCCAAGCATTATTAACATAGTGTAAAAAATGCTATCTGGAATGCCGTGTGGCAACCATAGCCGTGTCGGTCCAGGTACGGAGGTATACCTACATGCCAATCACATATAAACATGAACGACACTGCTGTGTCGGAGCAGTCGCGGAGGAGCCCCTGCGGAGATGAGATAAGTGGCTTAATTTACTTGCTTCTCTCAATATTTCCTCCAATGTGCCATCCAACCCTCGTATCGCCTTTCTTGCTTAATCATGAATCCTCGCGATGCCCAGCTAATGCGGGGCAGGCTGCATGCGTCAGCCAAGGGTGGGCCGGGAAGTCACCTGGAGAGAGACTCTGCGCGGGCTGAACTCGGCGGTTGCCCCCCCCCCCCCCCTCAGGCGCATGTAGTCCTTTCCACACTGCTATCCAGTCTCCTTCACCCCATAGCCCCGACGTGATCATTCCTGAACGAAATGGCTCTAATCCAAACAACCAAAGAACCAATCCTTCGATGCGCTGCCCTAGTGTTAAATGTGAAATGCTGTTCATCTCGTAAATGTTGCCTGGAGTTGCTGGGACAGCTGCGTCCAGCCCCCCCCCCCCCCCCTCCCGCAGCCTCCTCGCCGCCCCTGCGTTGGACAGACAGCAGCGCCCAGCGGCCAGTGGCAGCAGACCGTGTGTGATAACACGCTCAGCGTAAATGGGCTCAAAACTGCTTTCGCGCTACACTGGTGGGGAAGAAGACAAAATTAGCTTCACTATTTAAGGTTGCTCGTCCTGGACTTTCCCAGAGGCGTCCGATCCGGATCTCACTGTTTTGGTGGAGCTCGTATGGCCGCAAACCAACGTCCGATTTATACGCGTCAGGCGGCCATAACAACTGCGCAATAGGCAACGGCACCTCAAAAAATAAATACACGCTCCGCCAACGCTGCCATCCTTGAGCGAGGCTGGTGTCCAATCCTGTCAAGAAGGGCAGCTTTGGTAGACTTGATTCTGGTTCGCTGGCCACTGCTGAAACTTGCCATGGTTCGGTGCCTCGTCAGCGCTCCTCACCAAACGCTGTCATTTCTTTAGCCTGAGACTGAAGTTTTGCCTTAGTTCATAAGCCTATTGCTCGCAAAATGACCATCGCGTCAAAGACATACTTACCTTCAATTTTGGACTGCAGCAGCGATTCATTTTACATGGACGAAAGTAAAGCAAGGAAGATCTTCCGGGACACAAGACGGCTCTTAATGCAGCAGCCACTTCATGCTTCACGGCTCTTCCTTGATATCTTCGGAGTGGAAAACCAATCATCAGCTGATGCAGCATCGTTGTCATGGAATCGGAGCAAATCCCCTACTTTGTAGTTACTTTTGAAGAGTTGCTTTTGAAG